GGCCATTGCTTGGCCAATGTGCTCTCTGTGAAAGCCTGAGAGAATGTCTTTTCCCCATGTGACTCTCCTTAGGCACACTCTACGTCATTGATCACTTTCCTCTTTGGCCCCATAATCTTCTTGATCAGAAAATTTGGGACACTACCGAGGTACACCATGTACTTTTATTTTTGCTTTTATCTTTTTTTTCTCCTGCTTTGCCCAAGTTTACTCTGCAGAGCTAATTATTGCCACAGCCCATCACCTCATACTTTTCAAATAAACTTTTGGAACCTTTCATGGGTTGTCTCACCCAATGGTTTACTCAAGGCATGAATGACCTGTAATAATTTTGCTTGGTGAGATAATCTGGTAACAATATAGGATGTCATGTTTGGAAGTGGGTTTTTTCAACCAACATATTTCCTTTGAGATTTCATCCCAAATGAGTTATATTTTCTAAGATAATCTGTGTACATGGCCACCACCTCCAAGTCAGAGACTTTGCAACTGGTATGTGCATTAGGGACTTCCAGGCCCAAGTAAAGACACTCCTCCCCAACCACTGTCACCCTAGCCCAGCCAGTTGTCATGTGATCATGCTGCACCATCCCCTCCCAGGTAAGAGCTCCCCATCCACACTCAGCAGTACCTGGTTGGGAAGGGCAGCCTGCCAGGTCTGTGAGTAGCTCACCTGGATGGCTTGGCAGGGCAGAGCACCTTGGTTCAGAGAAGATACTCTCCTCTGCTCCTGCCAGGTGGCCCAGCCAGCAAGAGAGTGTGCATGGAGCTGCCTCCACCAGCCCTTCAGGCCCTGAGGCATCTGTTCTTCACAGGCCTTGCCCTGCCATACATAGATCACCCCAATCTTGCTGCCTGAGTCTCACTCTCTCCTGACTAAGCAGGTGCTCTGGAAGTTCTCCATAGCACTAGCTACTATTTACAAGGTCTGCTAGGAGGAGAAAAAGTGGGGTAAATACCAGGCTCGGGGGACTTCAGTCTTGACCTGTGGATGAATCATTGAGATGAGATCCTATGGTGTGTCCTTGGCTTCTATGACCATCCATTCTTGTCTACTGTGGTATCCATTCCCCATGAGTCTCAAGAATCTGAGTTGCTGCTATGTGGAAAGAGCAGCTTTGCAGAAAATGAAAAGTGGTCAACTGGGAGACTGTCTTGGTGGGCTTGGTCTATACCCATGAGCCCTTAAAAGTGGTAAACTTTCCTACCTGTGGAGACCAAGAGATTTGAAGTGAGAAGGCAGGCAGACAGGTGGGAAGGAATTTATATAGGGATATAGACACTGAAGGGTTTCATCCCCAGAAGAACTCAGAGTAGATCTACAGAAAAACCTCACAACTGTGATGCTAGTATTACCTGAGGCATGCTATCAATAGTCTGTTCATTTAATGATACTCAAGATACTTAAGAGATTAGAATATCTCTCTCTCTCTCTCTCTCTCTCTCTCTCTCTCTCTCTCTCTCTCTCTCTCTCTCTCTCTCCCTGTGTGTGTATGACAGGCTGGCTTTGAACATACTTATATACCCTAGACTTGTCTTGACCTCATGGCAACCCTCCTGCCTCAGCCCCCCAAATTCTGGGATTATAATCATATGTCACCACACCTGGTAGGATTTGAATCTCTGCATGATTTATGTATAAAAATCACAATAGATTTGAGACATAAAGAGACAGCTGTCTGTATCATCTGCTGTCACCCTCCTGGGTTTCTGAGTGGAGGTGGAAGAGCTGGTGTGCCAGGTAATGCACACTCATGGAGTAGGCAAAGGTGTGAAGGGCACTGTTTTGTTGTGTAGATTAGATGTGGAATCTGTTGGTCTGGAAGAGGAGGTGTATGTGCTGTGCCCCTGAATCGAAGAGGCTGAAGCTTGTTGAAGGAATCATTGGTTCACTCATCCCCAGTAAGAAAACAGGCTTCCAAGACTGGGAGACACAGGACTACAGACACAGGGAGTGTGAGAAATGTGTGTATGTAAACTGATGAAGGTTGCTAACTAGTGGAAGTGGTATATTATAGCAGTTAGGCCAACAGCAAATGCTCCTGTGGCAACACTGAGCCTACAAGCTGGTGGCCTTATCTAAATCTTCTCTAGGTTAGGGATGTCGAAACTGAGGCCAACAGCAAAGACACCTATTTAGACCAGTTACTGGTAAAATCATAATTTGATGCCAAAGTCCACACTATTCTATTTTATGCTGTATACCTTTCCGGTATGTCCCATATGCTACAGGGCACAAGTGAGAGAGACTATTAGCAGAGATGATATCTGAGGGTCTTGAAGGGCAGAGTCTGGCCCCTCTTCAACATGTCAGGTGATCTTGGATAGAAGGGCAGCCTTCCAAGCACTACCATGTGTAGTATTTGTCTCTGGTTGGCCCCCTAGAGGAGGTCCTGGCAAGAATGGGTGCCAGCAGTGCAGAGGGGAGCAGTGGCAGCACCTCAAAGCAGGGAAGATACTGTGAAAAGCCTGTTACTGAGGCAGCTCAACTGTAGGTGACTGATGTGGCACCCCTCTGGGTAACTCAAGAACCGGTGTGGAATACACCCCAAACACATTCTCAGTCATGAGGAGTAGGGAGCTTGTGTGTGTCTGCCAGCTCCAGCAGACACTTGCCGAGGACTGCTCCTGGGAGCGGATTCTCCGTACTTCCTGCTGGTGATGGTTGGTAAAGTTCACTCCAGGGGCTAGAGGACACTATCAGGGAAGGAGGTGCAGGTGACAGAGGGAGAAGTTGTTCCCTGAAGTAGAGAGGGCAGGGGACCTGTTGTGTCACCGACCTGATACACTCAGGGAAAATAACAGTGATCTGGAGTGTGTCATGTGGAAGGGCAGAGGAGTTGCTCAGGAGGAGGTCTGTGAGTGAGAGCAGCACGGCTGAGTGCAGGGAGCGGGTGGGGACACAGAGCCCAGGCCCTGGAGCCTGCTGGCCTGTACAGAGGGTGCCACACTGCCTGATCAGAGTTTGGGGCTCCTGTTCAAATCATAGGGATCGAGCACTGTTACAGGGAAGGTGACAGGAGGAGTAAACAGCCACAGCCAGTCTGTCTGGTCTCATCAGTGTGAAATAAAAGTAAATGGGAGGCAATTTGTTTCTGCTTTCTTTCATCTGCATGTTCACATTGATAGCTCTTTTCCCTGTTCCACTGGTGACAGCCCTGTGAGATTGGTCCTGCTTCCGGAAGGTCCCTCTGAGGAGTCTGGGCATGGGGTGATAATCTCACTCAAATCCCCTGAATTGACATAGACACTCCCTTCAGGGCTTTTCCACTGTGATCTGACCACAAAATTCCGCCTGTCGCAGCAAATTCTTAAGAATAAAAGGGGATTTAAATCAACATCATAAGAAGCGAAGTGTGTTTGTGTGCCTTTAAAAGTCAGAACACAGAGACGAAAACTGCAGAACACGGAAACAATCTGCTTTGGCATTCTGATATAAATGCAAGACCAAAGTTCACATGATAGATTTAAATACTTGAGAAAGGAATTATGATTGAAGTAAACATTCTAGTTTATAGGGAGATAAATTTCCTCTCTTGTTTAAATTACCTTAAAATATTTTAACACAATATAGTCCTGTCTCCTAGAGATTTACACATCACAAATTTTAATTTTGGTTCAATCTATAATGTGCTGTGTTCATATAGCTATAGATCAACCTTGATGAAAAGTCTCTGCAGAGAACAGGATGTGGTATTTACATCCACAGCTCAAGTGCAGTGAGCAAAGGAGGAGGCAGTGACAAGAGTAGTTCACACCCCAAATGTGGAACCCACAGCAATTCTGACCCCAAGATTTTCTTTTTCTTTTTTCTTTTCTTTCTTTTTTTTTTGGTGGAACCGGGGATTGAACTCAGGATCTTGTGCTTTTCTTAGGTACTTTCTCCATTCTCACCTTTCTTTTAGAGGGGCTGCTAGGCTTATGTGACATTGTATTTAGCATAATCACACTGGGGACACAAACCCATCTCCTACTATTGAGGGGAATGTATTTACCTATGATGGAAAGGAAGGCCTTGTGACAATGCTTAAGGCAACTAGCTTTTATGAAGAACCCCTTGAAGTTCTTGCTAATTTCATAGGAAGGTACAAGTTTTTATTTTTTTTCTTGTTTTGCAGAGTGGGAAACTGCAAAATATATTATTGGAAGAGCTACTGCTCTCTGAAAGATTTCTTCCTATTGGAGCTCTCCTGTTCTTGATTCCCCTTCTGGAGGAAAGACACAGCAGGAATTGTCCTTCTTGGAGCTGCCCTCTGGGCCATCATGGAAGACCATATGTCACCAGGATTCTAATCACAGGCACTTAGGAATAAATGCATGATTATGACTGGAGGAATGAAAGAAATGAAGGCACTGGCTTCTCAATTTAATGTGCTGTTTTCATAATGTGACAACAGTTTAAGATTTTCTCAACCACTGGATAAAGCATGCTTCTTGGCCACCATTATTTTCTAGCATTGAGAACTAGGCAATTCATACATACTCAATCTTATCTCCTGCTCTTGTTTCTGGGTAAATACTTGGCCCATTTTTAGGATGCCACTCTTCTCTCATCTTTCGGTTTAATCAAAGTATAACATTCAATAATTTTAGCTTCCTTCTGGATCAAAAATCGTAACGACAGTAGAACAACTTCTGAACACAGATTGTAATAGCCAGAAAGGAGAAACTGGGGGTAGAAAGTGCAGACGAGGCAGGCAATTTCCACAATGAGGACTTTGCCTCCTTCCCAAGATTAAGGATTGGATATATTCAGAAGAACTTTTCCTGATAGTACTAGGAATATCCTCACTTTAGATTTAATGAATTCATATTGGAAAAAAAGATTAGGAAGAAGGGTTGGGTATAGATTGCTGTTTTGTGGCCTGGGAAGCGTTGAGGTTGTTGGGGTTTGGAGGCTATGTGAGGAAGCTGACAAGATCATTTTCTTGAGTATTTACCTATGATGGAAAGGAAGGCCTTGGCTCTTGCGGGCTCGAAGGCACTCCCCCGCAGTATAGCCTCGCAGACATATAGCCCTGTGTCTGTGGAGGTTGGGTTGGAGATAGTGAGGCGTCTTCCAAAGCTGTGGAGCCCACTGGTGAGTCTCACACCATTTCTCTTCCAGTGCACACTCAGCTCTTCCACAGGCCTGCAAGAGCAAGGGCATTGGTGACAATGACTGTGAATCATGTAGATGGCAATAATAATAATTCTAGGCATTCAGCACCACCGTGACAAAGCTAATTCTAGCAGGAACCATGGTGGGTTGAACAATGGACATTTAAAAATCAATCCAGATATAGCTCTACTCCCTCACGGCAAGTATCAGCAACATATTCTGCTCAAGGGCTATTGAGCAAGGATAGCTAATTGCGGCAGCAATGGACCATAAGTGCTAATGATTCCATTTGCTCATGAAAAGAATGTTGAAAACAAATACTGCTAGGGAACACTATAGCTACGTGGGAGGTGTAAGCATTTGAACTCAATTCTGGAGTGACCAGAAGCAGGCTGAGAACACCTAGGACTATAAAGTAGGTAGGAGAAGGAGTGACTTTTTTCCTTTGCTACCTGGAGTCTTGCTCCTTTCTCCTCCCCAGCCAGCACCACAGATCAGGCCCTCTGCCACCACCTATGTTTAAAATGAAAATCATTTCATTTGCCTAATGAAGGAGAGCACTTGGTGAGCCCTGAAGCTCCCAGGTCCCTGTCTCCTGTGCATGGTGCACAGGCAAACAAGCAAGCTGCTGTTGCTGGAAGAGGAGAGCTCATGTGCTACTCCTCACTGTGTGCTTGCCCTGGGGAGTATTTATTAGTACAGGTTCAGCAGCCCTGCTCCAAACTGCTGGGAACCACAAGTATTTTATATTTTAGATTTTTTTTTTTTTTTAGAATATTTGCACATACTGTATAATGAGACATCTTGGGAATGGGACTCACGTCTAAAGATGAAATCCATTTAAGTTTCATTTACACTTCATATACATAACCTAAAGAGGTCTCTGTGCAATGTTTTTAGTGTACCTGTGTCTTCCCAGTGACCCACAACTTGAGGTTAGGGGTATAATTTTTCCTGTGTAGCACCATGTTAATTCTCAAAAGCATTTCAAACTTCATGTTTTCAAGTGAGGGATGCTCAATCTACATAGCCATACTAGAGCCCAGTTGTACCTGGCACTGGCTATGCACTCCAAGGTGGTCTCACTGGAGCCAGCTACCACGCTTCTGTTGCCTGGGGCAACCACAATGACGGGGGCCATGGCTTCAGGTGTGCCAATATCTCCTGTGGCAGAGAAAAGAAAAACAAGTCCATGGAACTCTTCTCAGAATGGAAGATGGGATGATGGGAATATGACAAATGGAAGAGCTTGTCAAGTCATGTTGATAGGAAATTCACAATCTTGTGACCTGTTAAAGCCCCCTCAGAGGAGCCAGGGCTGCATCAGACTTTAGGTATGGATGTCCACACACAGCCAGTCTCCTCTGCTGGAATTCCAGCCAGAGATCAGAATGCAAGGTACCTGAAGGTATCTTCCTACTGCTCTGGACATTTGTAGCTAAAGGACTTTCACGTACTCAGCATTTTTAAAAATCCTTGCTGGCTTTATTATTTTTTTCCGAGGGCTGGGGAGATAGCTCAGTGGCATAAGCATCTATTATTTTTTTCCACTGATTTAAGAACTGCTTATTGAGTTGCCTAGTATACCCATTATTTTCAAATTCAGTCAACTGCACAAATATGTCACATATCAGGCACTCCGCTAGGCACAGAGGTTAGTAAAAGCAGCTGCAGTATGACTCCCTAGAGCACACATATTCCTTTAACAAAGTGTAAAGTTCTTTTTGCTGCAATTCTAATCCCTTTTCCTTTCTGCAAAGTAAATATCCTGAATCCATCTCTGTTTTGTGAGTATCAAGCCATAAATAATTTAGCTCATATTTCTGGTGACGAGGGAGAAAAAATAGGCTGCATTTTTGCCACTTTCCTCTAAGACACATTTAGCATCAAAATTAAACAACCCACAGCACAACTTTACTACTGTTTATTTAGGAAAAATGAAGACTGAACAACATTTATAGAATAGGGATTTCAATAAGAGTGGAGATGTAAGAGACTGGAAATAAAAACAAATTTAAGCAACAACGAATGCCGAATGTCTTCTTTAGTATTTCATTTGGAAGTACCCACCACTGTCCCAGCAGAACTCTGGCCAAGGAAAGGTTTTGGCCTGTTGGCTATAGGGGCTCACAACCAAAGAAAAGGACCGAAAGATGGGAGGATGGCCACTAACCAACAGGATTTCCCACAGCTCTATGTCTGGCATCTACTGACTAAGCAGAAAGTGACTTGTGTATTAGAGGTACATGTGAAGTTAAGAGAGGGGTGAATTTGGTGCAGGCAGTCAGCAAATTAATTTTGTTAAATTTACACACTGATTGTATAATGGGAGGCCAAATCTCACAGACCTTGCGTCACCTGGTGTGCAAGAGATGCCTCCCCCTCCCCCAGCCCAGGGCCTTCAAATCCCCTTTATAGGGCCCTCTGGGGTGCACATAAACTTCAGGGACTGTCTGATTGGAGATTAGAGCTCAGACATGCCAGAATAGGCATGCATTGAAGGCTAGTCTAAGGAACAACCTGCTCATCACCTGTGAAAGTCACTGGTGAGGAGAAACAAGCCAGGGAGCTAATATTTGCAAATAGTTATGAGAAGTGAAGGATAGCAGTTGGAAACTGAAAGGTTACTGAGCAAGGTGCTCACTTGGCATTAATCACCGCACATCTATGAAGCAAAGAGGAAGCCCATGCTCAGCACATGTGGCCACCTGGGATGACAGTCCAGGTCCTTGTCTTCTTCTGCTCAGGCTGTACTGGGAAACTGCTCATAGTGCCTTGGGGACATGTGGGATAGAGATGCCACTAGGCTTCAGCTACAACTGTTGAGAGGTGAAGAAGCTCTTGGTTTGGGTTCATTTATATCACACTTGAAGCACACAAAGACTGGCAGGCCCAGTGCAAGTTGAGGGTCTTGCTTGATTCAGGGTTAGTAGATGATATCTGTTCTCTACATAGCCCTCTAACTCCCACTTCAGAATTATTTCTAATGACAGGGTGCTGGTAAGATAAGCAAAGAGTGATCTCTCTCTCTCTCTCTCTCTCTCTCTCTCTCTCTCTCTCTCTCTCTCTCTCTCTCTCTCTCCTGGGGGGCTATAGTTATTTATATAAAGTTAATGTGAGACCAATCTGACCAGCAGAAGCCATCACAGCGAGACAGAATCAGGGTGTGCAGGCCTTCTGATGCAAACCCCGTGTGTTTTACTTATCTGAAAATTTCACAAACACCTGGAATCCAGGCATCCCAAAAAGCAAAGGTGGTGCTTAATACATTACCCAATTCTGGTACACCCTTTTTTGAAAAGGTGCTTTAAAATTTCAGTCAAATTCATGTGTACATCTGTATTAAAAAACAGTAGAGCCTTAAAACAAAATAATACCCTCACTCTGCCAAAGGCAATCTCTTTCAAATCCTTTAGTGCTTTATTTTAGTTTAAGCCATGTTTTAATTTTACATAGCTGTTGCTATTTTTTAATTCATTGATTTTAGGCATTACTGACTTTCTGCTGTGATGGATGTGCATGGAGCTTACCCTATTGTACATCTCCTCTCAAATAGTATTTTGTTCTTATTATGTACCCTTGGAAGGTTTTACATGTGTATGTATATGTGTGTGTGCTATAATATAAATATATACCTACAAGGTATTAAGTATAAATCTTTTATAAAGGAAGGCAATTAGAAGTCCTCAGAATACAAGAAATCTGTATAAAACACATCTTTGAATACTGCTTTGCTATGCAGTGGATAATCTCTACATAGTAAATGTAATTTAAATATTATACATTTATTTCAACTTTAATTATTCTACAATAATCAGCAGTCAGAATGATGACTATGAAACAGAACATAACTGTTATTATAACCTTGATAATATAAAAATAGAGCTACAGAAGACAGAGTAACATGAAAGAACAGAGAAAAACTCAAGGGAAGGTCACTTCCCACTACACAGTGGGGGAGAAGAGGATGCACTTCCCTTTACAAGGAAATGATAACGGGGTGTGCATGCATGTACGGACACATACATGCATGCTGCCTGTGTGACTTTAAAATATTTTGCTTGCTCTGTCTCCAGGTTTTACCCATCCTGCCAGTCAGATTCTTGACACGACGGCCTGAAGGTGCTCATGCTACTGTGGGCTGCCCTTTCTCCAGGGAAGGCCCAAGCCTCGGGGCTCTGAGTGCAGACCATTTTTGGAGATTCATGTTACAAAGCCTTCAATACCTCATTAAAAAAATGCAGTCTCTTCTGAGAAAGTTTATACTTGAAAGACGTTGGCTTTCCAGAATATCTGAAGTGAAAATTCTCTCTTTGTGTTTCTCTTAAACCCAGTCACATAAGGTCCTGGAATAGGGCAGAGCGCCCCTGGCTAATGCTCCAGGAGACCTGGGCAGGCGGCCAGCCAGGGGGTGGGGTGCAATAGGTTACACCTTGCAAAGGAAAGACTTTTCTGTGCCAGAGCAGTGACAATAAGGTCAAGTGCTGCTCTCTACCAAAAGATTCTGAGTCACACTCTCTTTGGATAATAAATTCCATGTAAGCATGTAAAGTGAGCATGTAAGAACTGTCCACTGTTCTTATCTGTAAGTGGTATGCTCAGTGAGAGTTGGCTTTGGAGCAAAGAAAACTGTGGTTCAGTGATTGCCTCAAGGGCCCCCAGGTTTTATCCCTTAGTGTCTCAGTCACTGTCTAGTTAGTTTCAAAATAGGATCGTATGGCAAGTCTAACAGAGGGAGTGAATGAGACCATCTGAAACCTCAAGATCTCCCTGCTACAAAAACAATGGGTCTAACATTTATAGAAGCCAAAGAGCCAATAACACTGAAAACAAACTCAGAGGGGAAAGATCTTGGATTTTTAAATTCTGTGGTTTATTTAAAATCCTTTCCAATGTTTAATAATAACAGTCGTTATTGATTGTGTTGACTGGATGGAAGAAAGAACAATTACAAATGTGGCTAAAAGTTTAAGCTATGGGCCATGTGGACAGAAGGAGGGACCAGGGTCTGCTGGTGCTCTGGCATGTGGATCCTTCTCATTGTTCACCTCACCATGGTATCATTACTTGTTGACTCTGGAAGATGAAGAAACATATGTGCCACTCAAGTTTGTATTTAGCAGAGCATCTAGATTATAATGGCCTTTCTACAAGTGCATGCTGAATGAAGAATTTTCTTGTCCAAATATTACATGGTTGGTTATTGATTTCAGATTATTAGAGTTACATGATATTGAGGATGAAACCAATAATTTCTTATTTCTGGAGGTGTAAAGCTCAGTTTGATGAGGTCTGTGCGATCAGACATCCGGGTTTCCTAGAGAAAGATAGGCCTACTCACATAGCAAGCACAGTATGCTGTGGGCATTGAGGGCATAGAGAAGGGACATAGTAAGACAGGTTGGGGGTTCGGTGTTGACATCAATTCTTCCAGTGCAATTAGAAAAAGTTTGACCAGAAAAGTGGATAGGCACATACCAGACAGACAAGAAAGGAAAGGTATTTTAGGAACAAAAAAGATGGCATTAGGTATAGTGGCACATGCCTTATAACTCCAGCTACTGAGAGGCTGAGGGGGATGTTCATGAGTTCAACACCAGCTGGGGAAATTTAGTGAACAAAATTCAGTCTCAAAATAAAAAGGGAACCGGTTTAGCTCATCTATAAACATGCAAAACTGGGAGCACCTGCTTGATGGGCGAGGGGATCCTAGGATCTGGGTTATGATGGTGGAGGGGCAGGCAAGGCCAAACCACAGAACTTGGAACTTTCGCCAGCAAGGAACAAGGGTTGTGCAGACCTTCTGGGGAAAATGATAATCAGTCATGTGCACTGTCTGTACTGTGGGGTCAAACTGTGAGGTTAGAGACAAAGCCTGACACTGTGTAGGGACAAGATGCAAATGCTTGAGACTCAAGGGAGTTGTAGGGAGAATGGAGAAAGGTAGAGGGGTAGGGAGTTGGGGTAGTAAGGGTGTGGCGGGGAAGTAACAGAGGAGTGTAAGGCAGCTAGCCTAGCCTCCAGCTTGAGTAGCCTGGCCATTGGCTGAAACTCACCAGAAAGGAAAATTAAAACCAGGACAGGTGCTGGTAATAGTACATCATGGTGGAGGAAAGGGCCAGTATGTCTGTAGTAGCTGCCAGGCTTTATAGGAAGTACCCAAC